ACAACTACTGATGATTAAGCTAGGAAATTCCATGCCCATTGTAAGTACATGATTTAAGGAGGAAACAAGTGGATAAAGAAAATATGTAATCAACCATGACATCAAATGAAAATTTTAGAACAAATGTTCATAATGTGCCATTTTTCAATTGCTTAACCATTCCAAGGGGATTTCAAACCAAGCCCCCTCGTAGCTTCAAGGGTTGCCTGTCTCTTCATGGAAACTTTTGTTATACAAACTGAAATGAGCCTGGTTTTACTTTGAGACACCACTGTGAACTAGTATATAAATAAGGCCTGATAGGACATTTTGGATCTCAAAGAGAAGCTGAGAAATTTGGCTCAAAAAATGGGACAGATTGAAACAATTTTTACCAAAGGAATATGAGACAGTAAAGGAAATTGATTCAGAAGAAGACCAGTATCATTTTGAAAAGTTAGACATGAGGCACAATGTGTGCAGTTCTTGTTATAAGGATTGAGTGTGTTGTTGTAATGAGAAAACATGTGCCAGGCTGATAAAAGTATTTCCCTGGATTTTAAACTGGTGATGACACTATCTTATATTGAGTTGCATATGAAAGAGATTTCCTCCTTTAAAAACTGTATCAGGGGGCGCCTGGGTGGCTCAGTTGTTTAAGCGTCTGCCTTCGGCTCAGGTCATGATCCTGGAGTCCCGGGACCGAGTCCCGCATCGGGTTCCCTGCTCGGCGGGGAGTCTGCTTCTCCCTCTGCTCTCCCCCTCTCATGCTCTCTCTCTATCACTATCCCTCTCAATAAATCAATAAAAATCATTAAAAAAATAAAAATAAAATAAAATAAAAACTGTATCAGAACCAGTGGGAGAAACAGACCAACCAAAGGGCATTTGGAGTTTCATGCTTGGGAAGAACATACATTATAAATTTTGAAATGCCTCTTAAGATTAAGGTGTTATGGCAAATAAATAAATTTAAAAAAAGCAAAACCTTGAGGAAGTTAGCAATTTAGTATACTTTCTAAATTCCATTTACCAAAGAAAAAATTTTCCTAAACTAATTTACAGTATGCAACAATGGTAGCTAAGTAGATTAAGTATTACATCTGGGTTTCCCATGACTAGGTAGCCTTATAAAAAACCCAGGCATAGGGGGTGCCTGGGTGGCTCCAGTCGATTAAGCATCTGACTCTTGATTTCAACTCAGGTCATGATCTCAGGGTCATGAGATCGAGCCCTGAGTGGGGCTCCACACTCAGCGGGGAGTCGGCTTGAGATTCTCCCTCTCCCTCTGCCCCTCCCACTAGTCACGCTCTCTCAAATAAATAAATAAATCTTAAAACAACAACAACAACAACAACAAAAAACCCAGCCATAGTTAATTCTGGAATGGATGCTTTTTTTGGGCAGCATTTCAAAACTAATTTATTAATACCTTCAAATGATTATTAATGGGAGGCTCTATGGATGGGGAGCCCATCAGGATCATCCAAATCATCAAAAGTCTACAGAAGCCAGGCAGGTAAGCGGTGTGTGAAGCACACAGGGTGGTAGGGACTATGACAAATGAAAGGAGACCATACACCCAATAAAGGAGCAGCAGCCATCCCTTGGTTCCAAATACTTGCTGTCTTGTGAGACTGGAAGGGGGGTGTGTGTGACAGATCTTCTGATTATTCAAAAAACCTTAGAAATCCCACTCTTCATATACAATATCCAGATTTTTATGTGAAATCTCCTGAATTGTAAATATTGGCAATCAGTTATTTTATTTGCAACAGCGTATTATTACTACAGAGGCAGGACACGTGCATTGTATAAAAATAGAAAATGTAGGCCAACAATAATAAAACATACTCTCCCACTCAGAGATCACCACTGTTAACACCTTAATGCATATCCTTTCAGTTCTTTTTTATTCCATACATATATAGACACTTTGGAAACAAAACACGAGTCCCCTGTACTGGTTTCGTAACTGGCATTTTGTTAATGATTTTGACCTTTCCATCTCAGTAAATTTTCACCTCATCTAATTCCCTGTCCATATAAAAAAATTTTCCAGTTGACTCCAAATATCTTTTTTTCCTTTTTAAGTTTTTATTTATTTATTTATTTGACAGAGAGAGACAGAGCACAAGCAGGGGGAGCAGACGGCAGAGGGAGAGGGAGAAGCAGACTCCCCGCTGAGCAGGGAGCCCGATACGGGGCTTGATCCCAGGACCCCGGGATCATGACCTGAGCCGAAGGCAGACGCTTAACCGACTGAGCCACCCAGGCGCCCCTCCAAATATCTTTTATAGCAATTTGCTTAAACCAGTAGGGAATCCAGGACCACACATTGTATCATTATTAGATAGTTTAAGTCTCTCTAATCTAGCAGTTTTGACTTTTTTGAAGATCATACTGACTTGGAAACAAACTAAGGATTGCTGGAGGAAGGTGGGTGGGGGCATGGGGTAACTGGATGATGGGCATTAAGGAGGGCACTTGATGTGATGAGTACTGGGTGTTATATGCAACTGATGAATTACTGAACTCTACCCATGAAACTAATGGTGTACTCTATGTTGCCTAATTGAATTTAAGTTTAAAAAAAGGAAGAAAAAAAAAATCATACTGACTTGCTGAAGAAGAGTTAGCCAGTTGTCCTGCAGAACGCCTCCCTTCCTAAGTTTGTCTAGTTGCTTCCTCTTAGCGTCTTTTACTTTCTCTGTTCCTGGCATGGCGTGTAAACTGTAAGCTCTATCTAACACCTCGGGGGGCGAGGGGGGCGGCGGGGTGGAGCTAGACTATACACTAGGTTGGGTTCTGTTTGCCTCACACCAGAACTGGTCGACTGGTTAGTGACACCAAGACCCATTCCAGGAAAGGGTGATGCCAAGACCATGTGCTGAGAGGCTACTTGACAATGTCCAGTTGTCCACCAACCGTTTCACTTATCGTTTTAACTCCAATAATCTTTGCCAGGATCAGTCAGGTATTCAAGTTCACAAAATGCTGTTCTTCCAATTCTTTTTTTTTTTTGTTCTTCCAATTCTGTCATTCTTTCTACATTTGTTAGCTGGCCTTTTCCCCCTCCTCAATGAGGGTTCAAATTAATATTATGAAAAATAACTCCCAGCGGGCCAAAGAATGCATTTGGGGGCAGGATTTGTCTATGGGCCGCCACCTTCTGATCCACAGTGTAAGTCCAACAAAGTCTCCCCCTTGTCATCTGTCCCCTGCAGCATTAGGTCTTTTGTTTGTGACACTCAATTACTTTGCACTTGGTGACATGTTGCTTGTAATCTTCTCAGACACTTGATGTGCGTATTTGTCTCCCTGGCTAGACGGTGACCTCCTCAAGGGCAGGGACTCTCCTGCAGCGTCTTTCCTTTGCTTCTCCTAACATGCTTTTATTGTCTCCTGGATTCCCTGGCTTTCCCACTAAAACTTTCCCTAGTTATTTATCATAATGAAGGGCTGATCTAATTTACAGTTTACTTGTGCTGTGGGAGTCCCTGTGATGAGGATGAGGGCTGGAGTGGGAGGGAAGAGGGGAAAGAAGCTCTCTATTAGTCCTCAAAGGCGGGAAAGTCATTTTCCAGCTGCATGACCTTGGGTAAGTGCCCTTATCACTGTTTCTGTTTCTTCATTTGGTAAAATGAGGTCACTGGGTTCTCTCTAAAGTCACACCCCGCTCGGCTCTAAGCATACGAGTCGAACCTGCACCTTTTGGATGTTCCTCCTAAGCCATGTCTCCCTGCTTGTATAGCTCCCTGGCTCCCTTCACATGGGGCAGTGCTGTCCTTTCTAAGCCTAGGTGGACAGAATCTGCCTTGGACGACTCTTCAAACACCAGTTAGACTGCTCTAATCCATCCATCCCAATGACAGTTTGCTCTTGTTTCCAAGGTCAAGCCTCAGTCCTTCACAACCAGGGCCAAGTGTGGATATCCCGAGGGCTCTACACCAGTAATTGGCATGGCAGAGGCCGTCTTAGGTCTTCCTTGGCTGGGAGGGAGAATGAAGAGGACAGAGGTTGCCCTTGCCATGGAGTCCCCTCACATTAGGGCTCTGAATGACCCCAGGCCCACTCTGGGGTCTGGATCCTTCTAAACAACAAAATGCTTTTGCTCACTGGTTTCTCCAATCCTTTTGTCTCAGTTCTATCAGTCTCCTTTCTCTCTTGTTATCCCTTCTTTATAGGTACAATCTCAAGGACCTCCTCCAGCTGGCTTTACGTGCCTGAAAATAGCTTTCTCTACTTTCTTGACTGAGGACAGTCTCCAGCCTGATTACAAATGGAATCTTACCATCTCCCTGGCCTAGAGAGCTCCAGGTGGTGAAGGGGGAAACGGGTCTCTAAGGAGTGAGGCAGAGAGAGAACCACCACCAGCCTTATTCTTCACAAACCACATTCAGGCCTGTGGTGAACGGGGCTGACCAGAGCAAACAGCCGAAGTCGGCCCCTATACCGTGATTCTCATCTAGAGACACAAAATGGATCTGTAATTCTTCCATTTCCCCCTCTCCCCATCTCAGGCCTAGTGGCTGCTAATGAAAATCAGGTGGTTAGTTGGCCAAACAAGGTCTACTTATTGCTGTATCCTTTGCAGTGCCCCAGGAATCTATCAGTTATAGATATGAAACAGAACGACTAAGGATGAGCAGTCTCCCAGCGAACAGGAAGAAGGCAAACTCTTGCAATGCAGGGCACACTTGGGAGACTGCCACGGTCTGCCTTCCCTGGGCCTGTCCTCATCAGATGTTAGCACTTGTTTTTCCTCGGGAAGGAAGGAGAGAGTAGCCCCAGTGTCAAGAAGTCTTGGGAAGCTCCAGGGCTGGCACAGATGAGCATAGACCCAGAAAGGAATCAGCCAGTCAGCAACAGATGGGAGGCTGAAATCAGAGTTAGAAACGAAGGGTCGGAGCGGACACGACCCCCAAGAGTCAAAGAAAGGATGGATGTAAAGTTATACGTGCTTGCCTGGATTTCCCAGTCCTGGAGCGGCCTGGTGAGAAAACTGCCCAGTCAGAGTCTTTGTATTCACTTATTTAATAATAATAATAATTCAGAAGAAGCAATCCCAGCTGTAGACCAAGTTATCTAGTCTCAGAACATTTATCACTCCAAAAGTGCATCTCCTCCGGCAGTCAGTGGTATGAATGTGAGCTCTTCCTCTCAATCATACCCTCATGCACAGGCCTCTTCTCTGCGACCCCAGCGTGGCTGACACAGCCACCTTAGAATAACCCCTAAATGCGGAATTTCTGTTCTCAGGAGTCACCATTTCCAGTATGAAACTCTTAGTGACAAAGAATGAAGACTAAGGATCAAAGATTATCAGATTAATTTGCCTAAAACCAACTCACCTAGAGACAATTAGTCTCAAATATTTATCAAATCTGCAGCATTTCAAAAGGATTTAGCAGAGTCACCCTTTCACTTTTTATTGCTCTTGTCTATGTAACCTTTAATTGTTAGCCAACTGAATATGCCACATGCTTGTTCATTTGTTTAGAATACATTGGCATTTTTAACAGCAGGAATGTAGAAGTTAGGCCAAAGCATCAAAATCATATGAGCTCCATTACGTTTTCCAAGGCATCTAATTTGTAAAGGGATATTAGATTAAGAAACACAAAAACTGATACACAAAATGTCTGTACCAATTAATTATATTTATTGCTAGGAACTTTAAACTTTTTTGAAAAATGTCGGAAAAGTAGATAACATAGGAAAAGATGTCCGTAAAAGTAGGAAACAATCTCATTTACAAAGTGCTGCAAATTTGATAAATTTATGTTGACAGTAACTCAGAAGTACTGTTGGAGGAATAGATATAAATCCTTAAAACACCCAAAACATAATAGAACACCTAAGTGAACACCTAAACGGTTCCCCAGATGGAACCGAGCTTTTGGCAAACTGGTCATTAAGTGATGTAAACTTTGGCAGCTCTCTCTGCCCACGGGTCCTGTCCCCGCGCTTTCAATAAAACCATCCTTTCTGCACTGAAAAAAAAAACCAGTGCAGTTGAAGGGTGTAAGTGTTCCATGAATTGCCTTTAAGGGACCAATTTTAGCCAAACGGACTAGAGCCAGGTCAAAGCGTGTCGCCCCTCTGGCTCCCCAGAACCTCAGGGCTTGGGAGTTGCAGTGGCTGGAATCCTGGATCCCTCTGCAGGGTGGCAGGTCTGGAGTGGGGGGCTCCTGTGAGGGGACGGGGATGACAGTGTCCTGAGAAGAAGGGAGTGAGAGAGCGAGTGTGCCTCTGCGTGTGTACGGTGGGCTGGAGGGCTCCGTGCACCCGCACCTGGGCGCGTGGCCTAGCCTGAGGCCTCCTGCACCCCCAAAGGCCCACTCGTTACGTCCCCAAGCCGAGGAGAAGAGGAACCCAGGACAGGCACCCACCCGGCCTTCCCAGGCCCACGTGAGTCCCTGAGAGACATGCAACACAGGCAGCAGGTCCACCCGAGCTGCCCCCGCTTCCCAGCACAGGGGTGAGCGGCTCTCCTGGTCCTTAGAGAGAAGGTCACCAAGAAACAACTCATGAATAAGGTCCAGTTTCCACCTCTTCATCCAGATACAGAGATAAGATACTGTGGTAAGAACCTGCTGACCCCGTATCTGACCCACGTGAGGGGTGCAAAAGACTGAGGAGTGTTCATAATGTCCTCTCTTCCTATAATCCAAAGCCAGAACATTGCTTGACCTGTGCATAAACGGATACTGGAGATACAGACTAAAATCAGACCTTTAGAAAGTCCTGGAACCTGCCTGCCCGAGTGTATGCTACAGCTCAGGCTGTGCACACGGGAAGCAAGCCAGTCACCCCACCGTGGCAATCGGAAGGGTCCTTCTCCACAGTCCATCTGGAATGTCGTATCTTTGGGTCTCTGGCCCGTGGGGCCCTCCCCAGAGGACTCTTCTGCCTGACCTGGGAGCACGTTCCTGGCCTCAGCTGGCCTCAGAGGGGCCCTCTGGCCAGAGCAACTTGTCAGGGGTGGCGAAGGCAGCAGCGGGGACCGCAGTTCAGATATAGTTGGCAGGGGGCTGTCGGGCACTGAGCCGCTGCACGTGACAGCCGTGGCAGAGCAAGTGCCCATCCAGAGGGAAGCAGCAGCAGCCCTCCTCGTCACTCAGCTGCATCCGGCAGTCCTAGGGAAGAAGGACACCTAGTTCACCTCAGCCCGGACACCTCGGACATGTTGGGAGTCTGCCCTGCTCCACACCAGCCTCCTAAGGACTGGAAGAAAGGGGGTGGGGTTGGAAGCGATGGACTCCCGGAGGAGAAGCCCGAGAAAATACCTCAGCGGGACAGCAGGTGTCGCTGCTACAGCAGAAATAATGAGCCGGCCTCCCATCTGCAGGGGTTACCAGGAGTCCCCAGTTTAGTCTTGCCTCTGGGGAAGCCAGATGCAGAAAGGACTAAACCCCCAGGAGCAGAGAGCCTGGCTGGAGGACGGGAGGACGGGAGAGATACTGGGGACGGGGCGGAGCACCTTCCTGGTTTCCATGCCTCAGACCTCTCCTACAGACTCGGGCAGTCCAGGGACATGCCTCTTCCCCCAGCCCGTTCCCCTGCTCCAGATTCTCCTCCAGGAGCCCTGGCTCCTAGCACTCACCTCACAGTGGTAGCACTCAAAGTGATAATCTCGGTCCATGGATATCACCCTCACAATGTCCTCACAGCCCTGAAATGATGCAGACCCCATGGGATGAGCGTAGCATGACAACCCCGATTCTGCCCTCCCCGCTACGGGCCCCTTCCCACCCCAGTGCGAAGATCATATGGAGGGCCTCCAGAGAGAGCGCTCTGCAATCGTCTGTAGCTTTGAGATGGCCTCTGCAAGTCCTCCTAGAGCTTTCCCCTCCCCTTCCTTGGTGCTGCCTCCAGGAGGGCATGTCCTCTCACAGTTTTCCCTCCGTCCAGCAGCTCTGGCCTTACCTACCTTTCCGAGCTGTGCGGAGGGAAAAGGGGCAGGCAGCCCAAGTAAAGTAAGCTAGGCTGGGGACGAGGAGATCCAGTAGGATCTGGTTCCTCACTGGCTTTTGGATTCTCTCCCTAGGCAAATGTGTAGCACACATAGCATAAATCATTGCCGACATCTTCCTACCAGCCCTGAGGATTCTTCCCACCTTTTTCTAGCCCCTACATCTGGGATCTGGTGACCCTGACCTCAAAGAAAGGAAGTCTCCTCCTCTGGACTGGGAGAGACGGGATGAAGCCTGGGCCCAGTGAGGCTGTCAGACATGTCCAGGCCCGGATGTTCGGGTCAGGGTGGTGACCCTGAGAGCAGAGTCACACGGGAATCTTCAGAGTACATTCCTCAGCACCACCGCCTCCCGCGGGAAGCCGGGCCGTATGTCCCCATCCCCTTCCCAGGGGCAGCGGCGCTGGCTGCCCCGCAGGAGAACCCAGACATACTGACCTCTGAGGGGAGGATGGGTTGGCCGCAGGCCGCACACTTAGGAGCATAATTTCTGAAAAAGAGAGGGCCGCGAGAGAGGAGTTGAGGTTGGGGAACCCCCGAGGCCAGTTCCACACCACATCCCATGGGGGTAGACTCACTTGTGGTAGTCAGTGACACAGTACACCTGGTTGGAGAAGTCCACTGTGAAGGGGATGCCATCTAGACACTTGTTGCAAACGATGCATCGGAAGCAGCCTGGGTGATAGGACTTCCCCATGGCCTGCAGGATCTGGCTCACGGGGTGGGAGGAGAATCAATCAGTCTCCCTCTAGTCTCAGTTCTCCAGCTACCCAGGGTGCTCGCCACTGCCCCCCAACCTCATCCAACTCCCTGCCCTCCTCCCAGAACAATGCTATGTAATCGGAGAGGCCTAGGACTCTTAAAACAGAGGCAGGGGGAGCGCCTGGGTGGCTCAGTCATTAAGCGGCTGCCTTCAGCTCAGGTCAGGATCCCAGGACCCATGATCGAGCCCCGCATCGGGCTCCCTGCTCAGCGGGAAGCCTGCTTCTCCCACTCCCCCTGCTTGTGTTCCTGCTCTCGCTCTCTCTCTCTCTGTCAAATAAATAAATAAAATCTTAAACAAACAAACAAACAAAAAACAGGCAGAAACCTTGAAAACGGTCTTAGAGAGCAGCCAGGCCAGTGGTTCTCGCCCCAGGCTGCATATTAGGATCACCGGGGGAGCTTGTAAAACCCATCAATGCCTGGGCCTCACCCCAGAAGTTTTCATCACAATCTCTGACGACGACCCAGGCACTGGTCATATTCTTTACTTCTTCCCGGGTGATCTGCTAGGGTTGAGGACCGCTGATCTAATCCTATTCCTCCTTCATATGGAAAAAAAAACCCCAACAACAACCCTGAGTTCTAACCGAGCCCAACCAGTAGCAGGAAGGGGATTAAGACCCAGGACTCCGCACTCCTAGCTTGGCTTTGCGTGCAGAATGAGGCAGGGACCAGATCACAGAGGCTTGGGGATGGCAGGATTAGGGGTTCAGACTTGACCCCACCGGCAGAGGGAAGCCACTGTAAACAGTTGCTCTGGGGAAGAATGAGAGGAAAGCGACTCATGCAGTGATAGGGTTCCTCCCTCCACCTTTCCTTAGTACCCACTTAGACCCTGGTTCTACCCATCAGCTCCCCCAGCCTCAGAGAGTCTCAGCTGACGACACTTTGCTTACCTTCTCCAAAATCAAGTGACCACAGACACAGCATTTCTCAGCTGCCTCCTGAAACCCTGAAAACTAGGGACAAAGAAAAGACCAAGGGAGGATATTACAAGTAGAGAACGACCTGATGGGTGGAACCCCAGTGAGCCGCCAAGAAGGGGGGGGTTCCAGCATGGGAGCCATTCCAGGCCCGGGGGACCCCTCACTCACCAGATAATCTTCCTCACAGTACACGGAACCATTGACGCTGTAGAAAGCCTTGCAGCGCAAAGTTCGCCCTAGAAGCAGCAGACAAGGGACTGGAGCCATCCCAGGGTCCGTGTACAGGGCGTCCCCGCCCCAGGGTCACTGCTCTCCAATGTCGCATGACGTATTTAAACCTGGACTTCAGTGCCCGTGCTCCTCACTGCTGTGTGTCCTCCCTCTCTACACAAAAATCCCATCTGGCGCAATTCCAATTTACTTTGGTCTCATTCCTGCCAACTTCCCCTCTCCTCTGCTCGCTGCTCCTCCAGTTCCTGCCTCAACAGTTTTCTAGGATCCCGCCCTCCCTCGATGAGTGCCTTCCTATCCAGTGCATGTGGAGCCACCAGGGAGAGCAAAGCCAACCCCAGGCTGGGGTGCAAGGTGAAGGAGCTCTGAACAAGGTGCCATCCAATGCCCAGGGTGGGGGTCGCTCTGTTGCAGGCCTTGCCCTCTGGGACCTTCCAACCGAAGGGCCTCTGCCTATGCACAGCCATCCTGCTCCCCTAGCCCTGTCTGTCTTCTTCCAGGGACAGGCTCAGTAGAGGTCAGGAAATATTGGCATTACTGTTGGGGACAAAGTGCTTTGCTTGGGAGCAAAGTCATTTCCCTTCCCCCCTGCACTAGACTGCTCCCCCAAGCTTAGAGGAACCCAGAGAATCCAGGATCTTCTGTGAGCAGACAAGGCATGTGACCAACACTTAGGAACTGCTCCAGGGTGTCTAAATTGTCAGGGAGAGGGGAGGAGTGAGACCCAGGGTGGAGAACGGGCAAGTGTGCCACCTCCTCTGCCCTCTTCTGATCAAAATCTCTTCTACCTCTGCCCAATGGTTTGGAAAAGCTGACTTAGAAACTCATGAGACACAGTGCGGGTACAGAGAGGGAAAGAGGCACACCCAGAAGAGGCCCTATACACAGGACAGACAGATGGAGGAACCTAAGAGAACCAGGCAGAGGTGGGGGGCGGCAGGGGGCGGGGGTGCTGGTGGTGGCTGGAGTAGGGGAGAGAAAAGCTGAGTGCTGGAGTCAGACAGGCAGAGATAGGAGATTAAAGGTTTAGCAAAGGAATCAAGAGTGGGCAAGCAGTGGGGAGGGGTAATGAGGGAGGTGAGGGAAGGGTTGGGGAGTTGAAGCCGCTGGGAGCACCCCCCCCCAGGCGGGCCTCCTGAGCTAACAGTGGCGGGCATTCCTGGAGCGTGATGTCATCAGCTTGGCATGGCCCTGTGGCCTGCACTCCAGCGAGGTGGCTGAACTCTGACCAGCCAAGAGAAAACCCCCTCTCTCCGCCCCCCAGGGCTCCCCACTCCCCCAGCCCACCCCCACCCTTCCCACATTCCAGTCTTTCACTGTCGCCCCAGGCAACTCAGACTGCCCAGGACCAAACCCCACCAAGGAGAGGCCGAGGAGGCCGGGCTGGAGTCCAGGCTGGGCAAGCAAGGAGGCAGAAGAAAGAGGGAGGAACAGAGGGGAGGAAAAGAGGCTGAGTGGAGGAAGGGAGGGCTGACCCCAGAAAGCAGACCCACCATGGGGGCTGGAGAGGCAGAGGAGGGCAGGTGGGGCAGTAGTGGGCAACCAGACACATGGGGGCGGGACCCGAAGAGGCACAAGCTCTGCTTTCCCGGGACCCTTGAGAGTGTGTATGCGTGTGGGGCGTGCCTGAGGCCTCAGCCTGCCAGTGCACAAGGCCTAGGGGTCCACTCACCACAGGAGCAGCAGACAAAGCACTGGGTGTGGTAGAGGCTGTCCAGGGCCTGGCAGGCGTTGCTCTGCCCATAGATGCCTTTGTTGCACTTAATACAGGTGCCTGAGGGGAGAGAAGAGGTTGTCAGCATCACACCCGACACCCCCAGCTCAAAACCAGGGATTCAGGATCCTTCCTGACTGCTCTTTCCTGATTGTTCCAGAGGACCACCAGTCCCAGACTTCCTTTGATGGGCTCCCTCCTGGGAAGAGAGGAGAATGAGAAATGGAATGCAGCAAGGTCTTGGCTGAGCAGACCCATCCCTGTTTACTGATTAATCAACAGATATTTTCTGAGCATCTATTTTGTGCCTGGCAAAAATATGGTGCCCGATACTGTGGAAAATTGGGAGAGAGTCAAAAATATGGTCCTTGACCTGCAAATGTGCAGATTCTGTCAGGGAGAAAAGACTAACAGGCAAAGGTATGACCCCCGTTGCACTGTGTGGGACAAAGAGTCAGAGATGCCAGTCCATAATGGCCCAGCAGTGGCCTCCTAGAGGCCTAGAAAGCCTCTCTGGGACCTCAGTTTCCCCATCCGTAAAACGAGCTGCTATATGGCTACAGAATGACTTTTTACTGCTCCACACCTCTAGGTTTCCAAGGATGGAAAGAAGGATATGGCTCAGCAGAAGGCCCTATGCAGAGGGGACCATGTGAGCATGACTCCTGTGGGGAGGTGGCTGCTAAGAATGTAGGGTGTGTTCCAGGCACTGGAGGTTGCACAGGAAGGTGGGGGAAGGGTGACAGAATCCCTAATGTCTCCCTGAAATCTATCACGGGAAGGATAGAGCTGAACTGCTCTTCTCTGACAACCCCCCTCCTAAAATACATACACCTGGCTCTGGCACCCACCTTTCCTGGGTGTGTTCTTCCCTCCCTCCACTCCCCAATTCCAGGCTCATGAGTGAGGGCTAGGGCCTGTCTTTGGGGAGCAGATCCCAACGGGCCCGCCTCACCCCGCCCCACCTCTCCCCCTCGGCACACTGCCATACTCCTTGCCTGTTAGGGCCCATCCCAGTCTTTGCCCAGGGGCTTGGGAGCCCGTGCAGCAGCTGCAGCAACTGATGGGCCCAGGCCTGTCCTGCTCCCACCCTCTGGCAGCTGGCAAGGCTGGAGCCAAGGAAGAGGGCCCCTAACTAGGGGCCAGAGTAGGAGGGTACAGTCAGGCTGGGAATTCTGTCAGAGGAGGCAACCTGACTCTCAGGGAGAAAAAGCCTCTACCTCTGGGGTCAAAATGCCCATAAGACTGAGCCAAGATTGCCATGCCAGGGGGGCCCATCAGAGCATTTCTTTGGGAAGCCTTGGACATTATGCGAAGACAGGTGCAAACTGCTCAGACATGTCCACCTAGCCTCCTCTAACCCAGCATATCCACACCTAGGTTCTTCCTGCCATTTTATTGCACTCTGTCCAAGCTCCTTTCTTCCTTTTCACTCTGATGGCTTGGCCAAAGAGACTTCTTTGCCCTTAACCGCCACTTCTCATGGGCCCCAAAAGGAAACTGCTAAAAGGACCTGGTCACTTAGTCTCCCTTGACCAAAGCGTCATCTACTCTAGGTTTTCCTCTCTTAGGATGGGAGGATTGGGGTTGAACGGGGCAGGGAGGGCCCTGTCGGCCTGCAGCCCTGCTACCTCTCAACTTCCGCCTCAACCTGCCCTCCCTGGCTAGGTTCCTCTCCCTCTCCCCATTTCTAGCCATAGAGGTCTAGAGCATGGGGTCTAGGGCAGGAACATGGATGGTGGGAAAGGTGAGGAGAGGCCCAAGGCCTTCCATTTCTTTTCTTCCCACCGTATTAGCATTTCTTTATATAACGAAGTGGTGGCTGTGGGTCTTAGCTAAAAAGATCCTTCAAGATCCCAATATCCCCCGGTAGCTGAGACATATAATCAATCAATACTCCTTAAAGGTAATCGCGTGCGGGAGAGAGCGAGCGACCAGGTTTCCTTAACAGCGGCAGAAAATAATGTGCCATTTCTAGCCTGAATTCTGAGCAGGTTGTGGCCCAAACTGAAGGCCAGGTTATTCCTGGCAGTTACACAGGGTCGTTAACCTGCTAGGGATGCTAGTGTTCAGGTGGTCACGGCTTCTGCCCTGACTTCCGGAGGATGGGGAAAGTAGAAGCGGACACCACCAGGTCTCCGCTTAAATGCCCACGCACGCAGCAAGCCAGCAGGACTGGGACGAGCCGGCGGCAGGGTCCCTGCTTTCCGTCCCAGAGCGCTTCACCCTCCCTCCCAGGCTCCATTTCCCCGACCGCGGCCACGGCTCCGCGCGTGTTAGCAAACAGCACCCCCCCACAC